CCCTCTTTTCTCTAGTACATATACAAATGATAACAATTCCTCCTTTTTTTTTATCAAATTTTTCCGCACTCATTTTTAGAGTTGAATACTTGAATTAAAACTTTTGATTTAAGTTTCAAATTTTTATTTCGTTTGTCAAGGCAAAACACACAATGACATTTGAATGGATTCAGATACCATGTCCATGAATTAAAAACACAGGCACATGCCTCTAATTTTCAGTTTACATATTCAATGACGTAGTAGGAAGGGGATATTAAAAACATTTAAGACTGAAAGTGGAAATAACATGCCCACAGCCAGCATCTCTGAAATGGAGAATACTAGGCCCCACCATCTTTATCTCAATAAATCCTCAATCATAACGTTAGCTTAATTATAATTGACTTAATTTAATAAAGAGTATGATAATTTTTGTATTTTTTTGTTTTATTTATTATTTTTAGATACTTTTATATTTATTTATTATCTTTTACTTTTATTTTATTTTAATCTAATATGTTAACTTTTTAAAAGTAATTTTATTATGATTGATCAAATTGATTTTTAATTATATTTTTTGTGAATTTTTATTCTTTAAAATTAATTTTGAAATAAAATTAATTTTGTAAGTATGTTAGGTTCCCTTTTCACTATTTAATAAATTATAATCTTTTATCATATGTTATTTTAGCTTTTCCTTTTAATAATTATTCTTTAAAGTAGAAACCAACAATTATTGACATATTTCAATAATTTGCACAATTTATCTTAGACTATTTTACTAGTTATAACTACTCTATTTTAATTTTGATTTAACTTTTTTATTTTTATTTTTGTTAAAACTAATAGAAATTTTGTACAGTAGATTATTTTGAAATATTTTATAAAGTTTATAAACCATTTAAAAAGAAATTTAACTTTTTATATTAAAATGAAATTAAGTTGATAGTTAGTAGACCAATCATTAAATTAAGCCATTATAATTGGAGAATATATGTAAAAAAAATTTGAATATTTTTAATAAATTATTATTAAAATGCTAAGGGATTAATTAATAGCATTTTTTTAATTTTTTAATAAAGCAATTATACATTACAACTACACATAAGAGGTAAGGCAATAATGTTAATGGTTGCTCTTGAAACCAGAACCAAGATATTGTACCACTGAGTCTTGACCACTTAGTCATAAACACGGTTGACAATATTATATTTTGTTTGAACAAAATGGAGTGGAGAGATGATTTTTTAATAAATAAAATTATAACATTCACAAATAATGTAATTTAATTAGTCAAAAAAATTCATCTCACTCCTTTATTTTGTTTCCCTTAAACCAAATCTAATTTAAGAGTATTAAAAAAAAATTATATACATTTTGCTTGAAGGTTGTTTACATTAAAATTATAGTCATGATAAGAATAATTATTCACAATTTTTTAGTCCCTCTCCGACCCCACCTTTTATTTTATTTGTTAATTTTAGTCCAACATTTAAAACTAACTCCGATACTAAAGACTTTTATCACATGATATATTATAAAAAAAAATCATTGGAAAAGAGACTTAATTGGAATAGATTTATTTAATAAAAAAATTTTAAAATATTATAATTATAATATTACGTGATATTTTGTAAATTTATAACTTTACAACATAATAAATTATTATATAATTAATTATTTTTATTAAATAATTTATTTATAATATTATATATATTTACTCATTTTATATTATATTATATTTATTTAATATTATATCATGATTATTATAAACTTACAATCTTATGTAATATTGTAATTATAGTATTGTCAAAAAAAAAATCTAAATCAAATAACCTAATCCAACATTAATGCAAGTCACGAGGCAAAATTCCATGCCCTCAAGAAAATCAACATTTATGCAGAACCTGGTAACCTGTTGGCAATCCATCTTCCTTCTTTTTGTGGAATTGAAAAATTCTCGAT